GAGAGAGAGAGAGAGAGAGAGAGAGAGAGAGAGAGAGAGGAAACTCTCAGTCGGGCATTGCTGTCCCGTGACGACTGTATGCTGACAACTTGTATAGGCTCCCCTACTGGCAGTTCTGGTGATTCAACCAGCTCTGATGACCTTGAGATGAGGCCTTCTCACCCCCGCCACAGCACGATGCCCACGACATCGTCAGTAGGCATGTCACCGCTACACCACACTTCTTCCGGCCGCTCCGTAGCACATCGATTGCATCCAAGCTCACGTCGAGCATCTGACGCCTCGGACCGGGGCGACCCTGCAGTTCTCGCTCGCGCTGCCGCCGCTTCATCTCTCAGAGGCGAGGACCGGAGGCCACCACCATCATACCTCACACGAGGCTATAGCTCGATTCCCGCTGTTCATGCACTCTCGCCGACGCAACTTCCCGGCTCGCTGCCCATCACCGAGCCATCCGCCACGGGCGCATCCTCGTCGAACAGTACCACCAGCCTCCAGAGCCTTTCTGTTGGACAGCAATCGCTCTCATCATTCAACTTTGGCGGCTACTTCTCCTCGAACCCTACATCGGCGCCCTTATCCACCAAGTCCTCTGTATCCCTCTCTACACCAACGACACCGACGGCCACCGTGCCTGAAGAGCCCAACTGGGGGGAGAAGACGCCCGTGGCGACGCCTGCGGCGCCCGAAGCTACCCCGCAGGCGCCCGCCACCATGGTGCCGCCGCATCTCAAGTTTTCAGATCGCCGCGCGTCATCCCGATCCAAGGTGGCTCGGTTCACAGAGCTCGAAACGATCGACTCGCACACCGAGCAGCGCGCCCCCGAGCTCGCCAGTCAGGCTGTCACAGTCACGCTGCCACAAGAGAAGCAGCAGGCGAAAACATTTGAGGAGCCTGTCTCTGCGCCCGTTCCGGCCAAGGTAGGACGGCGCCTCTCCAAGCAGCAGCCCGCCGGCGGGAAACTGCCCAAGAAGTCACGGTGGTCGATGCGCGGTTCTGCTGTCGCTGTCTGATCCATTGTTCTCGACTGAGAAGCATAGTCAGCATGGCCAGCCTTACCTCATACAAGGTGGAAGAAGGCTGGGTGCCACAACAGGACCCTGCAATCAGCCAGCCACATGGCGTCGTGTTACGCTTGGCATGTGCACGCATTGACGAGGAGTGTTTTACTACTTGAAACTTTATTTTTCTTTCTCGTGTTTATCCCATTGTCAGGGAGGGGGACCTTCCTTTGTTGACTTTGTTTTCCCAGTTCAAAGACTATTATGCACTGGGGGGAGAATACGGTCTTTTCCGCTGATACCACAGCCATCCCTCGAACCTCCACCGGCATTGTTTCAGCTTGGGAGGGAGGGAGGCATTGTTTTTAACTTTTGGGGGTTATGGAGCTTGGCGTACAGGGTGGGGAATGAATGGCAGAGTCGTAACAGCCACATACAAAGAGACATACACAACCACGCGCCTACACACACAATAAAGCAACTGTCTTACCCGAGCAAGACATCAGGGTCCAAGACGGGAAGCTCAGATACGGAGGTTTGGCCAGAGGTGGGGATGAGCGGGGAGCCCCGCCTCCTATGTCTGAAAGGCGGTCGGCTGGCTGGCTGGCTAGCTAGCTCACGAGGGGACCTGTGCTCAACGTCGCAGGCGGATGGGCGAGCGAGACAACAACGGCTTGAGCTGCCCCTCCATGCCGCCGATACGGGAGAACAGGAAGAATTCTGACAATGGGATCGTCTACGATAGGCTGGCTAGCGAACCTCATGTAGGCGAAGACAGACGATAGGGAAGGCTAGATGTGAGCACCCCCCACCCCCAACGATGAATACAATTATGGCATCTCGGCCTTGACCTCACCAGTGGTGAGCCGAATTTTCCTATTCGGGCCATGTTCGCACTTGAGGTGGCTTGCATTCTCATCCAGAAACGGACGGGCGAGACAACACTCTGGCTGTCATTCTATCTCTTTCAGCGGTGTGCTTACTCCTTCTCCTTTGGCGCACTTCTCTGCGCCAAGTCGATCCGTTTTATTGGCAAGGCTGCATGAGCAGCAGCAGACGCAGCAGCATGTGGGTTGTGGATTAGGCCACTTCCCCTCCGGCGACCAGTCTTGCACGCCCCTGTCTATCCACTGGTGCACCAGGCACCCGCTGCCGCTGGACGACATTGGGCCGATGCGCATGTGACCTGGGGGGAGGACGACCAGTGATGAGTGCGACGCTGGCACGTCTCTGACGATGCTCTGTCGCAATGCGTCCTTGGCGAGCTCGGTTATTTCAGGCCGCACAGCGGAACGGCGGCCGGATCTTCCCGCCTCACTTATAGGTTCTGGAAGCTGGGTAGATGGGAAGAGAGAAAAAGCGCGTGTCATGTTAGGGGAAGCGCATTTCTCTGGTCCAGAATCATAAGTGCGGTGCCGTAGCTTAGTGACAAAAAGAACAAGTATGTTCGTCATGAGGACGTACGAACAGGCGTTTGCATCGATGCGCTGCTATTGCAGATTGCTGCGCGAACATTCAAATGGTTTGCCTGTTGGTCGAGGTGCTGCGTGTCAGCGAACATGATGACTGATACGCTTCTCCGTCTATCGCCCTTGGGTCCTTGGTCGGCAAGCCGTAGGGTGCGTCCCGCCAGTTCAGGGTGACAGGTTGAGCCACTGATGCGTTTGGTCAATGCTGACACTTGACATGTTGACAGCAGGCAGACCCAGATGTGCGCCGAGCAGAAGCAGGTCAGCAGTCCAGATGGAGGGGAGGGGAAAACATGTATTGGCTCGCGCAGGACGGGAGCAATATGCATGTCTGACCGAACCCAAAGCGTGTGGCGGCTGGGGGGTTGGTTGGCAGCGAACGCCCTGGGCTGAACTGTCGTTACGCGGTTACTTTGAACGACGCACAGAGAGGGGGCGTGAGCCGAGAGAGAAGAAGAACAAACAGAGTGTGCGTCAAAGAGGGGGCCGTCGATGCGGCAGATCTGACGGAGATGATCGATGATTAAATGAAGCATGCAGTTCCAGGGACAATGAAAACATGGCGGATGTTGCGTGGTTTCGCGGTAGGCTGCGTCGGCGATGCTACCCTCATCTCGGATGATGTGGGCAGCGGAGAGGAGGAGAGAGGGGACCAGCAGTCAAGGCAGGCCTGGGCTGGGTCTCATGGTTCGCTTGCGAGGGCTCATGCAGGTTAGAACAGTGAGTGCAGAGGGCTGGACCACGCTCTGGGGCTGGGCTGAAGAGCGCATATCGATAGATTGCAAAGTATATTGTATGCGAGTCGGTGGCGATGGGGACCTCATGCAAGGCGAGCACGAATTGGCGTGCTCTGCGACTGTGCTGGCGCTGATGCACAGAGAGAGGATAAGACGATGCACAAGCCCGGCAAACCGCCCCTCTCCGGCCCCGGGACCGAAAGGCAGATTGCATCCGAAGGCCGTCCGCTCCGTGTTTCACCTCGCCTTGCTGTCGGGCCATTCGCAATTCAATGAGATTGAGGATCCGGGGCTGTCATCGGCTCTCATTGGACATGACGGGGATACTTCTTCTGTTTGGCCACCAAGGGGCTGCAGATAAACCAGGGTTCAAAAGGGGCCTCTGCCCGACAGTCTCCTTTCACCGGACGTCTCTGCTTCGACTTGGCAAGGCGTGGCCGTTCGTGCCTTAGTCTCGGACAGGCAGGACCATGGCTGGCCCGAAGATCGACATTGGACTACAGTGAGCCAGCATCGTTATCTTGGGGTAGGACAACATGGTTGGCTGCCGTTACATTGTCCGCTTGGCCTAGGTCCGGGGGCAGCGTGAGGGGATACAAGATGTGCATCGGCCCCCCGCTATTCAACACTGATATCATCCCCTCTCCGATCAATTGCGCAGACCAAGTACATGTTCAAAAATTGAGATCATGGCCGACGTTGACGACAAGAATGACGAGACGAAGTCCACGGCCGAAGCCAGAAACGGGCACCATGTCAACCTCAACACGACGGCCTCTGTCGACCTGATAAACGCCTCTGGCCACGTGCAGCAGCTCTCACGCAACTTCAGCTTGGCAGCCCTCGCTGGCGTTGGTCTCACAGTCGGCAATGTGTGGCCTGCCATCGGCGGATCCATCCTTGTGGCGATTTTTAACGGCGGCCCGCCTGGCGTATTGTACGAGTTTCTAGCCGTGTCCGTGTGTTACTGGACCGTTGCCGCCAGCATTGCGGAGCTGGCAAGCGCCATCCCGTCGTCGGCGGGTGTCTATCACTGGGCATCCGTCACGCCGGGCCGGCGCTGGGGGCGTGGAATCGGCTTCTTCGCCGGCTGGTGGAACTATCTCGCCTGGGTTTTGGGGCTGGCGAGCATGTCCTCCATCTTTGGCAACACCGTTGTGCAGATGTACACCCTGAACCACCCAGACGTGGTTGTGCAGCCATGGCACGTTTTCGCTGCATACCTGCTGTCGACATGGCTCGCGTGTGCCGCGGTTTGCTTAGCCAACAAGGCGCAGCCGGCACTGGACAAGTTTGGCATTTTTGCTATCCTCGGCGGCTTCTTCATCACGATCACTGTCGTCGCAGTTATGCCTGGCCGAGGCGGGAGACCGCCGCATGCAACATCGTCGTTTGTCTGGAAGGAGTGGTCGGCAGATATCGGGTACCCCGATGGCTTCGTTTTCCTCGCGGGCATGCTCAACGGAGCGTATAGTGTGGGGGCCGTGGACGCGACAACGCACTTGGCGGAGGAGATTGCCTTGCCACACCGCAACGTGCCCATTGCTATCGGCATGCAGATGAGTATTGGCTTCGTTACGGGGTTTTGTTACCTTGTGGCCATCATGTACGGCATCAACGACCTCGACGCCTTATTCGAGTCACCTTATCCCATCGCCGAGATCTACCGACAAGCCACTGGATCAGCGGCCGGGGCCACAGGGCTTCTGGCGCTCATCATGATCTGTATCGGACTCACGATCATGGGCCTGTACATGATCTGCGGACGGACGCTCTGGGCGCTGGCGCGCGACGGGGCGACGCCGGTGCCAGGGTTTCTGGGCGAGGTCAATGGCAGGCTGGACATGCCACTGCGGTCGACGCTGGTGACGGCGGTCCTGGTGACGATTCTCGGGGCCGTTTATGTGGGCAGCACAACGGCATTCAATGCACTCGTGGGCAGTTTTATCTTGACGTCGAGCAGCTCCTATCTGGCTGCGATCCTGCCGAACCTGCTGACGGGACGAAAGATTATTTCATACGGGCCTTTCCACATGCGCGGATGGATTGGGTTTGCGGTAAATGGTATGGCGTGTGCATACATGACAGTGTGGTTTGTCATTTATTGCTTCCCGTATTTTCTGCCAACGGATGCAGCAAGTATGAATTATGCGTCGTTGATCTGGGGTGGCGTCACCATCCTGGTGGGTCTCTGGTGGTTCATCCATGCTCGGAAGGGATACCAGGGGCCTCAGACAACGGGAGGCATTGTCAGTGAGGTGGAGAGGGAGAAGGTGACGACGGCCGATGTTCGAGCCAGGCTGGGCCGGCCATGATGGTATCAAAAGTTGATGAGATGAAAGAGGGAGAACGCAGCTTGTCTGTAAGCATGCTGATACGCATCAGAACATGTAAGCTGCAGACGGGTTGCGAACGCAATTAGGGATGAACTGATCGACAATTTTCCTCAGCCTGCTTGATGACCATCTGAATGGCGGTAGAAAGCGAACATGTGTTGATGATAGGTCTTGGTCAAGCACTCTCGTTCACAGGGCGAAGAGAGAGCCAAGTCCAAGACGGTACGTACTCGATAGCTATACTGGCGTTGAGCCAGGGCACGAGGTACGTACTTTGAAGGGGCGTGTGCTATCGCTGCAAGGCTGTGAGACACGCTGGGGACCTGCATCAGCGCGTCTAGTGACAATGTCGATTGGGCAGCCTCGTGCGCCACGAAAGACCCTCCACGTTGTTCCTTCCATCTTCGTGTCTGACGTCTAAGGCTTCGCTCCCACCTGTTTGCCATCTTTGAGGTCTGGAGCCTTCTGAGCTCTTCCTCACGACAACACCAACACTGCCTTAGTACCCGAAACGTTGCCAAGGTCAAGGTCGTCCGCTGCGGCCGTTGTGACGACCCAGTGATTGTACTTGGCGTGCAGCTGTCCTTTCTTCGACTGCCTTCTCGTTCACATCCACACGTACAACGAAGACCGCCATTACCATGAATGACATCGTGCACGCTGCCACCCACCTCTCGTGGCCGGCGCTGGCCCTTGGCTTCGTGGCCCTTCTCTTCATCGCCTACCACGCCGTAAGCTTCAGCTACAATTTGCAACCACAATGCCGTTTCCACACATTCACTGACGACCCCTCCAGCTCCTCCTTCTCCTGCACGCCATCGCTCCCAAGCCCCGCGCCGTGCTCCCCTCCGAAAAGACATACTCCACGACGACCCCAGACTCGGACGACACAGTCACCCATGCACTTCCCTGCTGGTTCGACCGTTGGCTTGCTGAGCGTCAGGCTTCGGAGACGGCCACCAAGCTGTCCGACCCATCCAACGTACCCCTTCCCGACTCCGGCACCATCGAGCCCGCCTCTGTCCGCGTGACCGTCGTCGTACCTGCCTACAACGAGGAGGCACGCATCTTGCCGGCGCTTGAAGAGGCCGTGACCTATCTCGACGCCAACTTTGGCCGCCCTGCCTCTACCTCAACCCTCTCGCCGCCCCCCTCGGCCAAGCGCACACCCTCCCCGCATCGTCGGGTCCAGAACGCCCCCTCCGACAATCTCACCGGCTACGAGATCCTCATCATTGACGACGGCTCCTCCGACGCCACCATCTCGGTCGCCCTCGCCTTTGCCCGCAAGCACGCCCTCCACGACACGTTGCGCGTCGTTCGCCTGGCGGCCAACCGCGGCAAGGGCGGGGCCGTGACGCACGGAATGCGCCACGCCCGCGGCGAGTACATCCTCTTTGCCGACGCTGACGGCGCCTCCCGCTTCAGCGACCTTGGCAAGCTCATCGAGGGCGCCGAGGAGGTCGTCGACGGCGCCCACCGCGGCGTGGCCATTGGCTCGCGCGCCCACCTCGTCGGCTCGGCCGCCGTCGTCCAGCGCTCCTTCGTCCGCAACTTCCTCATGCGCTCCTTCCACCTCGTCCTCACCATCCTCACGCCCCCCGCCACGAGCCGCCTCGCCGACACGCAGTGCGGCTTCAAGCTCTTCACGCGCGCCGCCCTGCCCCACGTCGTCCCCTACATGCATGCCGAGGGCTGGATCTTCGATATCGAGATGCTCCTCCTTGCCGAGAGCGCGCCCCCCGCCCCCGTCCTCGGTGCCGACGGCGCTGTTATCGGCACCAGCCCCGGCATCCGTGTCGCCGAGGTTCCCATTGACTGGCACGAGGTCGACGGCTCCAAGGTCAGCCTCATCGCCGACAGCATCCGCATGGCCGTCGGCCTCGCCGTCCTGCGTGCCAGCTGGATGATGGGCGTCTACCGCCGGCGATTGACGTAGTGCCCTGCGCTATAGTGTCTCGAAGGAGAGAAAATGTGTATCGAGGATGTGAAAATGTACACAGAGTAGACAGGCCTGCTGGCCCACGGACATGATCCGAATGATGAATCACGACTGCATTTGTTCCTTCCTTGAATCACACTGAGATGGTAACATTGGCATGGTGACGCGAGAATATATGCTCCTGAAGCAGCTGCTGCCATCTGTTGTGGCAGCAGAACTTGATTGATTACATTATACTATGTTCCTCTTTCATTCTCTTCTCTCTCTCTTCTCTCACAGGATGATACCGAGCCAAACAACTCCACACCACGACGCCGCCCCGGGTAACACCGGGGGAGAACAAAAAGGATATGTACAAATGCCCCCTGACAGAGGCTCCAGGTATCTCTAACCAAGCAAAGAAAACAAATGCAATCCCTATATCGCATGCCTCATCATCAAGCGGTCAAGCGACCGCTGGTCCATACTCTCGCCCTTCGTTTGTCTTCTAGCAATTCACTCCGGGGCATCTTATTGCGCCTCGCGGAAGATGAGCGGCAGGAAGACCATGCTCGCCTTCCACAGGATGAGAATGGCGTCGACGACGGCGAGCGGGGCCTTGAGGAAGCCGAGCGGGCCGGAGACGAGGTCGCAGGCGTTGATCCAGATGGCGACAAAGGCGACGGTGAAGAAGTGGTAGGCGAGGATGGCAGGGCGCTGGATGAGGCCGCCCATGAGGCCCATGGGCACAGTGGCGTGGCCGCGCTTGAAGTAATCAAAGCAGCCCTTTTGCAGGGCGCGCAGGAGGCGGTCGTCGGCGGCGAAGAGGCTGTAGAGGGCCTGGGCCAGGACGTTGATGATGCAGGTCAGGGACTTGCGGCGCCAGTGGAACGTGTCCATGGCCCGGCGGACGGCGGCGCCGTCGCCGAGGTCGGGGATGACGTCTGGATGCAGGAGGTCGGTGACGAGGACGGCATCGTTGAACGCCACGGTCATGCCTCCGCCCGTCAGGGGGTGACGCATGTTCATGGCGTCGCCGAGGAGGAGAACGCCCTGGGTCCGCGGCTGGCGCGAAGGCGGCAACCACGAGTTGGGCATGGAGCGCGGGATTTTGCCATCCTCGAGCGCCGCCGCCACACAGGGCTGCAGCTGGGGCGGAAGCGAGGGCAGTACGCAGTTAGAGATGTAGCCGCGGACGCCACCAGCGGCCGGGGCGGCCTCGGGGATGTTGGCAGGGACGTCGATGAGAGCACGCGTCTCGTGGCTGCCGATCTGGTACATGAGAACAGGATAGGCTCCTCCAATAAAGACGTGGCCGAAGCGTGGGCTCGGCAGCGGGGCGTCGACGAGCTCGAGGGCGTAGAACTTGGACTTGACGACGGGCTGCTGGGGGATAAGGTCCTTTCGGAACTTTGAGGCGTAGCCGTCGGCAATAATGGTGAGCTGGCCGAAGAAGTAGTCGGCCTCCTTCTCGCCGCTCGAAGGGCTGATAGTGCGGGCTGTGACACCGAGAACCTGGTCCGACTCCTCGCCACGGATCATGCCCGTCACCTCGGTCTCGACGACGGTGATGTTCTTCTGGCCTTGGCACGCGCGGCGCAGGTTGGCGACGAAGCGTCCGTGATGGAAGGCGCGACCCTGTGTCTTCTTGGCGTCGGGCGTCGTGGCATTCGCATCGGCGTGGCCCGGCAAGATGACGACGTCGCCGTTCTCGTCGAGAGATGGAAAGGGAATATTGCAGGACTCGCCGTGGAAGGTGACGTCAAAACCATAACAGGGGATCGAGTCGATGCCCTCGAGGCAGTGGCCGAGGCCAAGCTTGCGCAGGGCAGCGACACCACCAGGCTGCAGCAGCTCACCGACGATACGGTCGGGCTCCTTCATCCAGCGCTCGAGCAGCAGGACACTGCGGCCCTGCTGGCCCATGGCGTAGGCGACGGCACAGCCAAAGATGCCGGCACCAACCACTACCACGTCGGCCTCATGATATTGCGCACGGCGCTCGGCACGAGCGTCGGCCGTTGCCGTTGTCGTCGAAGTTGTTGTGGTACTCATTGGGAAACGTGGTGTGTTGAGGGCGGCTTGTGTGACGGTCTGAGGTTGGATTGAGGCCATAGAAGAACTGTCGACGATCGAGGGGGGCTCTCAAGATCTTGGAAGAGGGGGGTGGAAGATTCGATCGAGTATATGGTGGGTGATTGAAGCAGCGTCGGCGTACTTGTCTCGCCAGAAAACTAATGATTATTAAATGCTAACAGAACCCAAGGGAGATCGAGTTCGCGAGCATGCGAAGAGAGGATAGGACGATTAAATCGTTCGTCGGCCGACGACGGGTGGGATGGCGGTGGAAAGTGGTCTGCTCATAGATCAATGAGGTGGGCAGGCGGCCTGGAGAAAATTAAAGACAGGGACCATCTGGGGCCATTCCTGGCCATTAGGGGCCAACAGTCGTCCGACAGCCATGACGGCTCCCACCGTCTGCAGATCGGGCCAATGACGAGCCTACTTCTGACCCCTTTGCCCCCCCTTTGCCCCCTAAGCCATGCCTCGAGGCTGTTTACCGTATGGGCCCTGTAACCCACTGTGGTATCTCGGGTCCGTCCCTGTGGCCCCCCCCTACGCGATCCCACTAAGCCCCCCTGCTGGCTTTCGTGGCCCACTCACCGCCCCCAGTGCCCTGACTAGGCCCCTCCTTCACATGCTCGCATGCTCGTCATGGATGCGTTCCTGGCTTTTGTATCGTTCGACACATGCCGCGTCCTCCATTCATTACTCGAGACATGGGTCGGGCACATATGATAGGCAGCTTATGTAATTCAGAAGCTCAACATCATCAGCAACATGATCAGAGCTTGCCAGCATGCCCAAGCCTTTGCATACCTACACAAGAGGCTGTACATTTCACGCCCAACGGCGTACCTAACGTAGGGTTTACATCTAACGCAGACAGCTTTACTGAAACAATGCTGCCACCAACGCTGCTGCTCTAAATAGCACAGTAATGTACACCTCGTCTCTATGACTCGGTCTTGTTGCCGACAGCCGTCGATCCGTCTTCTTGTTCTTCCTCCACTCGCCCCGACCATCGTGACGGCTTTCCGTCCAGACCTCGGCGCAACGGGGCGTAATAGTCAAGACCTCCTGCCTCTGTCCTGCGTGTGCGTGCCTGTTTCTCGTTCTGGCGCGCCACAATCTGTGCGACATTGGCCCGCTCGCTCGCCTTCCACTGAGCCTTCTCCTTGGTCACCTTCTTCAACGTCTCCTCAACACAGGCCAGCATCGATAGGTCTGACGCCTTGAGATCCTCGGCCTTGTCGGCCTGGGACGCCCTCTTCAGGTAGTGCACCACCCACTTGAGGCTCGTTCGGCACTGCTTCGTCATCCTGTAGTCGCGACCCAAAACGTCGCTCATGAGCCACCGGAGCCGCACGTATTCGTGCTGCTTGGTGAACGCCTGGCACAGGTCCGAAAAGTTCCACACACTGTACGCCAGGTCCCGTGACCCGTTGCACTGTGCCGCGAACACGCAGATCGTCACGACCTCGCGGTAGTTGCGCAGCGCCAGGCACACCTGCGCCGCCCGGTGGAACACAAAGTTGTCGATTTGATGGCCCTGCTCAAGAAGATCCGAGAAAAGGCGCTGAATCGCCGGGAACGGCCGCACCGCTGCCGGGCCCGATGCGCGGGCCTCGCTGCTGTCCCTCATCTGTTGGCCCACAGTCTGGATCTCATCCAGATCCGCCAACACGAGAGGCACCATGGCATTGCTAATGTCGTGACCATCGCTCTGCGCCTTGCTAATCAACGACACGGCGTGCTCCGTCGATGGTTCGTTGACCTTCATGCTGGCTTGCACGGCGAGCTGAAGACAGCCGCTTGAGTAACCCTGCCCGTTGCGCACGGCGCGGTTGTAGGTGCTGAGAACACTATTCCACTGGCCTTTCTGGGCATCCAGTTTCATTCGTTCGAATGTCGATCCAATGTCCATAGGTCGCTTTGGCGTAGCGATGCGGATTCGCTTCGTAGGGAACTCCCGTTGTATCGGTATCATCATGCTCCTGACCACCGCCTCCGCCTCCGGAAAGTCCGACTCGATATCTTGCTCTTGCAGAGTCTTGAAGAGAGACGCTGCCTCAACCTCGCCATAGCCCCATTGCTTCTTGCACTTGACCAGCATAGACTTCCAGAATGCGGCCGTCGTGACGAAGCCGGCGTCTTTGCAATAACTGAGCCACTGGTCTAAGGCCTTGAATTCGCGACATCTTCCATGCTTGTCCGCGATGAAGTTTACGAGAGTATCATCGAGCGACACTTTGAGTTTTTGTGTGTATTCTTCCACAAATTCCTCCGTTTCGCCCCAAGTGTGGCTCTTGGCGTACTCTGACAGGACGGCACCAAAACCGGCGTCGTATGCTTGTTGCTCGTCTTTGGTGAGCGGGCCCTTGTTATTGACCTTCTCAAATCTGGACTTGACATTGCCCCACTTGGACTTCATCGCATCGTGTTTCGCAAAGGCACAGGTCAGCTCGACATCAGTTCCGGCCTTAGGTGATAGAGCGAGGAGTTCTGCGAACAAGACACTGGCTTGCACCGCGTCATCCGCTTCAAGCGCAATCTGGATCATTGTTGATCGTATGCTGTAGGTGTCTTTGATCCCACAGAACTCCTTGTCTCGCAATTCTTGATAAATCTCGCGGGATTCTCGATACTTTTGCGACCCACGCCAATGTGCGCGCAGAATTCTGACGGGCCAGCTGGGCAGGATCCTCACTCCGGCGTTATCGTGTAGCCACTGCCATGTCCGTAGCACCTCGGCAGCGCCGTATCCCTTTGTTTGCAGCACTGAGTGAAGGATCCTATCGCAAAGCTTCTGAAGATCTGATGTGTTGTCGAGATGCGCTGTGCGCAGGCCTACAAAGGTGTCGATCGCTTCGGCGTGCCAGTCCCCACGGCGGAGGCGGCCCATGAACCTCACGGTAGTAGCTGTCCCAAGGCGACAAACCTGCCTGGACTTGTTAAATACCTCTGTTGCCGCTTCAATATGACCAGTTGACAAGAGCTGGTTGACAATTCTGCTGGCCAAGGTGGCGTGCTGGGCTCGACATCCAACGTCGTCCGAGATGTCGGCAAGTAAAACTTCGGCCGCAAGCTGCAAGCTTTCGGGTGGCTGACCATCAGCAGAGGCTCCTGCGGTGGGATTTGATAACAGAGCCTCGACGAGTTGGAAAGGCTGGTGTGAGAGGAAGTACTCGTTTGCAACAGGCCCATGGTTCGTCACCATGACCAGAATTCTGCCAGCTGTCAAGCTGTCGCCTTCGTGTAGACACGCTACCGACAAGAGTTGACAAAGTTGCAGAAGCCACAGAGGAAGCCACTCAACGTCTGCAACCAAAGCATATGCTCGGCGAACCAGTTCCATCGCAGCGGTCGTTGTAGGTTCGCTATGCCGGGGCTCGTGCTGAAGTTTTCGCAAAGAAGAGTCTAAAGGTAGGCCATCAGCTGCTCGGGACCAGAACTCTTCGAGCGCAAGCATGATGGATTTCGGGCCGTTCGGGACCCCAGCCGCAGGTGATCTTGACGGGCCTGGTTGAATCAATTTCGAATCGACCCCGGACCGCAATGCCAGGCGTGAAGGCTCCAGACTGGCGCCAGAAGATCTGCCCGATAATGTTTCTGCCTGCTGGTTCGATGCTTTGGAGGGCGGTGGTGTATTGGGATTTCGTCTTCGACCTGAGTGTCGGTGGCGGGGGTCAGGTCCGAGATCATCAGCGCCTTTTTGTTGTCGTGCAGCCCATTCTTGCTCAGAAAAGGCGACATTTCTAGCGTAAGGGTCGGTCCTCGAGTAGAAAGACCGATTGATAAATATCGAGTCTGACGTGCCGTCTTCTTGCAATGCTTCGAGGGCCGAACTGCCGGCTGTGGTGTAGCATCTTAATGATTTGAGCTTCCTCCCGTTCTCGACCGCCGCTCGAGCTATGCTTATTCTTCGCCGTCTCTCTTCTGCAAGCAGTACAATGGAGCAAGATGTGCCGAAAAGCAGCCCGCGAAGGGCATGGATGGCAGCTTTCGATGGGATGGGGGCAGGAGACGACATGGTGAAGGGTCGTCATGTGCCATATCGGCAATTTCTGATTATCGGGTCATCTCCTGTGAGCAGGGACGAGAGTCGATAGCGATTGTGCGGGATGGTGATTGCAATTGTCGAATGTCAGAAGGGTTTACGACATCGCTTTGATGGCCGTCGTACGTTTTGCAAGACCCGTCGACGGAATTTGGAGTCTGGAGTTCTTAGTCATCGGGTAGTGGTCCGTGCCCGTGTTGGTTCGGAATCCTGGTCGGCTTGAAGAAGTGGTGCATGCTCCCAAGCCTCCCCATCACGGGTGGCGGCAACGTGCTTTTGCTACCAAGTGTTTTGATTATAGCAGGACTATCCGAAAAGGGTTGTCCAATGTATTCCTTTGAATCGAGAAGAGTAAGTGAAGCATAGTCAGCAGATGGTGCTTTTAGTTGCACAGACCAACCCCGCTGCTAACTCCGACATTTTACTTAACGTACGGCACAGAAAGGAGGAATCCCCAGTCTTTTCTGCAGCAAGTATGAACTTGTAAAACGGTCTTGTAACTTGCCATGCCGCGGCAGTACTCAATTATATGCCATGAATGGCCTTCATAATCAGTTGGAGGTTCACCCGCTATTGGTTTGCCTTGGCTAGCAGAACAATCGGGATTGATTGTAGACCGTGACAGCCACCTGCCTTGACCACGTTCAGGGCAACTGTCGTGGTAAGTGCTTCGTCTTCGCAAGCAAATGAAAGCCTGCTATATTCTACTGAAATGATGAACATGTGTATCTCTCGATGGTCCCGTACATGGCTACGAGTGTGTGTGCGTCCTTTAATAGGGTGCTAACCCTGAATGAAGCTGGGTGAGGTTTCCGTAGAGCTTCGCTGTAGGCCAGATGCATCAGGGCGCCGCCTCAGCTCGATTGCTGAATCAACCATGAGAATACGTAGTCTCGTCGCTTCCTCATTCAGTGGACAATGTAGCTCCACTCCA